CCTCCCAATTTGATGAAGATTTTCAATGTCTTAGGGTGTGTCTTAAAATTTTACGAAATGTGTACTTTTTTAACAAATAGATTTCTACCCACATTTGACCCACATTGATGAAACTTGTCATCATGGTAGGACATGATAAGTAATAGATTGTCTCTAAATATCAAAATGATTGTTTTGATATTTAAGGAATTATAAATGGCTTTCATAGTACGCCCTGATGTGTACTTTTTAACAAATGATTTCTGTTACCATAGCAACCATTTGCCCCGCATTTATGAACTGTGTCATAGTGGAAGAACATGGTGAGTAGATAACTACCTGCCAATAACAAGATGATTGGTTAGATATTCTAGGAATTATATATGGCTTTCATAGTACATGTACCTCCCTTAATGTGTACTTTTGAAAAAATGATTTATGTTTCCATAGCAACCAATTGATACACATTAATGAAAATTGTCATGGTTGTAAGACATGATATGTAGACGATAACCTGTAAATATCAAGATGATTGGCTGTATATTCTAGGAATTATAGATGGCTTTCATTGTACCCCCATTAAAAATCATATCAAGGGGTATAAATCTGCATAGAATAGTAACCAGTAAACCAACACTGATGAAACTTTCCATGATAGTCAAACATAATGATGTGAATAATATCAGTAAATAACAGGACAATTGGTTATTTATTTTTTCTTCAAAAATTTGGACACAAGTTAAGAATTCTTTGGAAAAGTGCCACGTCCCCTTTCTAAATTAATTTGCATTGCCATATAATCATGAGCAATAGATTTCACTGTGTGGATAGGATAAAACAGTAGTTGATTTAATATTATCAAACATACTCTGAATAAGTTTTCTAAAATGTTTTTATGGTGTTTCTTTCCAATTTCATTAAAATAATATGTGTTTTGTCTCATGGGGTGTCTTACATTTTGACGAAATTGTGTACTTTTTGACATATGATCTTCGTTTCCATAGCAACCGGTTGACTAACTTTGATGAAACTTATTACTTTTGTAGGACATGATAAGTACATGATTACCTGTAAATATCAAAATGATTGGTGGTAAATTCTAGGAATTTTACATGGCCTTCCTAGTTCCCCCCTCAAAATCAAACAAGGGGGGTATAAATCTGAATATTTCCAAAACGCTGAAAAACTAGACACCAGTATTTTCAAAATCAATGTAGAATTACCTACATAAAGAGAAATTTGCTATTTTTCAAAACCACTTTTACACCACGCTCATCCAGTAATGAGATTCTATTGTTTAATTACATTGATGTAAGGCCGCTCTTATCACGAGATATAAAAGCCCATACACCTGTAGATACCGTTGAGTTGATATTACAAATTGAAACAAGGAGTTCAGATCTTATTTCTTCTCCCTGGCATACCAGCTTTCCTAGGCTAAATCTACGATTTTCCAACTACAAACCCTCTCATTCAAAACAACGTTACATCAGTTGTTTCAAAATATGCTCCAGATGTCATTTCGCTGAAAACAAACTTGCAATGTTCAAGCAAAACTGTTCATAACACGGATGCATTCTTCCCCATAAGTATGGCTTAAATTTTTGCAGCCACTGCTTGTTGGAGTTCTGCAATTGTGGTAGGGTTATTTTCATACACATTATCCTTTAAATAATCCCAAAAATAGGGCATTGAGATCAGGACTGTGGGATGACCATGGGTTCTCCGTCCTAGGAGAGATACTCTTCTCATAGAAATGACTTGTGAGCCAGGCTATTATATATCATTAGAAGTGTGAGGAATAGCTCCATCCTTCTAGAACCACTGTTCTTGTCTATTAAAGCCTCTATGTCTCTCTAGAACTGCCCAGAACTTCCTTGGAATACCAATATTGCGCTGTGGGTTAACAGTGTTGCCACTATCACCCTCAAACCAAAAGGGTCTGATGATTTCATGTTTGGAAATTGCAGCCCAAGCTATGCATTTAACAGAATGAAGGGCCATTTGAAGCACTTCATCTGGACTTTTTTGATCCCAGAACACATTATTTCTTGATTTTACACGTCCAGAAAGAAGGAAATGTGATTCATCCGAAAACCTAAGATTGACGACATTTGGAGCATATTTTGGAACGACTATAACTTTTTGGTCACCCTGTAGGACTGATGATCGGAAAAATGGAACAGAGGGGAGTATTCGATTTCTGCTAGAAAATTCAAGTTTTTATTCTTTTTACGGTGCATGGTATTAGTATAGTACCTCAGAACCTGCCAAAAGTCAGCTGGCAATTTCTTGATAATGAATTAAATCATTACAAAGAGTTGAGATGCGCGTTCAGTGGGCAAGAAGGCACCAATACTTTGGACTGAATCACTGGTGTCACCATGATATTAAGCTTATAAGCTTACATAAATGTGATGAAGAAGAAGCCTCTTGCACAAACTTGATAATTGTGTTCGTTTCTGTTGTAGACCAGGGGAAAGGGACAATGAGGACGTGGTAGTCCATGAATGGCGGCCCTATTTACACTCCCCTCCAAATGTTAGGCATCCTTAGCTCCCTCATTGAACTACTTGCTATTAAAGCATCTTTATGTCTGCAGTTTTATTCACATAACCTGTGAGAAAAATACTTATAATATTGATGAAAATGTAACTTGATTTCATTTCCAATGTCTCCAAATTTTCCCAATTTTTTACTTAATTACAATAAGTCGATTGATGATGAATTTAATGAATTTTAAAAATCGTCATTCCAATCTATAAACAAATGAGAAATGTTGGGCTCAGGACATCTATTCAGTAAAAGATTCACCAACGAAATTTTTTTATATAAAAAACAATCCTTCTTTCAAATTAAAGGACTTCATTCATTACGGAAAGAAGTGAAATACATTTGGACCAAGGATGATAAAAAACTGAATAGTTTAACGTTTTTGCACGCTAAGTGTTTAGTTTACTTTATCGATACTAAAGTTACAGAGCTTCAAAGTCATTTTTGAAAATCATTTTTCGCCTCCTGTGTTATTTCAATGGGAGGAGTTTTTTGAAAAATAACTTGAAGAAACGTATCAATTGTTTGTTAAATAAAGTTAGCAAATTCAATTGACTACCTAAATTGCATTTTTGCAAGAACTCGGATGGATGAATATTCTGTCATATGACCTGCGAAAAACCAATCAATTCCCATTGGTTTACATTGGATTGTAGATTTTCAAATATTCAGCAGATTTGTCATGCATTTCCGATCTATTGTAATTGTTGAAAAAAAATTGGAGGTATTGGAAATTATGTCAATTTATATTTCCAGCCCTAAAAGTGTTTTTTTCTTTAAAGGTTATGCAAATAAAATTCAAACATAAAGAGGATTTAACACGTAGTTCAACGAGGAAATTCACTGATTTAATTGATCTGCGGTCGACGCACGGCCTCCGTACGACAAATGTGACTGGGGTGTTATATATATTTTATGCAGTATTACTTTTTCCAACTGCAGATATCATATGAATTATGGTCCTGTATGGATTAGTTCTCCAATTTGTAGTGTTTACTTTGCCGATTTAGTACAAAAGAAGTATAGGTAGTATGATAACATTGACAACGCCCACTTTTCAGGGGTAGGGTACTTTAAAGTCATATTAAAAATTATAAATAGTACATTATCATAAGTACCAAACACAAAAGGCTGTCCCCTCACATTTCCACATATTCTACCACTTTTCCACAGCTCAATCTTATGAAACTTCGTATGCTTATTCTCTGCTATATTTGTGATACTCAAAATGTTTAATACAAATTTGGATTAACAAAAAGTTATAGGCTTTGAAATAAAGGTATATTTTCTATATTAAAAATCACTTCATATTTTGATTAAAAAGTGGGTCTTTGTCTTTTTTATTCACTAAAAACAACAAAAAAGTATGATGTTTCTCAATACAGCCATTATATTTATTCAGGGCGCAGACTACGGTGCTTAAACTGCTTCTTTATTCGGACATTAAATATTCCATAAATACCAAATAAAACAAACAATTTACCAAATAGTCCATGGTATGAAATCTCTAGGACGTCTAATAAAGGAGCTGGTAGCACACTATAGCGCGGTGTGCTACCGGTGAACATTATCAAAAAAGGAGGGCCTATTGCTCTTGCCTATTGAATGTTTTGATGAATGAGAGAAACGCCTGTTCAATTCAAAAAGTTTACCATATCCATACCACTCCTTTGCAATCTTTGTTTCACAAATGATGATATGATATTTCACCTTCAACAAAATTATATGTCTCCAAAGTCAAAACTATTTTTCAAGAAACTTTTCCCATTGAAATAACACAGGATACGAAAAGTGATTTTCAAAAATGACTTTGAAGACAATTCAATTTTCTTCATAAAAATATTTTTGGTGAAGTATTTACTAAATATATATCCAGAAATTTGATTTGCCTCAAACCCATTGGTTAACATAGGAATGACTGAAATTTTAAAAATTCATCAAAGGAGGGAGAGTTGTTTGTAAAATGAATCGGGGGGATTTTTTCAAGCATTTCTCTTATGTTTTTCATCCAAAAACATCAATACACTTTAAAACATTTTATTGACTAGATTGAGATTGCACCATATAATCCCATAAAATATTTCTCATTTTCAAGGATTATCTATGGATTAACATCCAGTTATTTTCCATTTTCAAATTTCAGAGGAATTGGAATCATTGATCCTATTCGTTTTTGAATAATGAAAATGTAGTTCTAAATAGGTTTTATTTATGCCAATAATTTCTCAAATTGTGTAAATGGTACCCATTCCTTAATCCCTAGAATTTTCTATTTGAGGAATTTCCCATAGAAATCCAATGGTACAGTTCCAATCAGATTTTGAGATAAGGAAAGTAAATCTTTAATACACACCTTTTTGGGTTGCGATATAAACCAAAACAACCCACGGATGAGTCAATAAATAAACTTTAAACACAGACCAACCATTCAACAGCTCAATCAATATACCAGTCTATACTTACCACCTCTGACAAATTCCGGGATGACCGCAACAGCAACGATGCATACTAGCAAAGTTTGAAAATTCATCTTTGTTCAATGTCTTGTCCCAATGACCGTGATTACTGAACGCGCACCTTGAATTGTTGCTTTTTGTGACAAACGTTTGGTTTTATACAGCGATTACATATTGATATCAGATCTATTCAATTTGAATTCAAACTGATCCTTTCAAATCCCAATACTGTTATTCGTTGAAATGCTATAGATGTTTCAATTTCATTTTATCTTTGTCCAAAATATGGATCATTATATGCAATAAAACTAACAATAAAACAGCACATTAAAACAATCAGCCAAAAACATTGTTATAAACAACCACTTTGCAGCTCTTAATGGGTGGTTAATGAATGTGTCATTGAAACATGAAATTGAATTGAAAGCATGTAATGGCTTTTATAAAACAATGCGATATATCAATAACTACGAATAATGATTGCAGGAGATGACAATTGTCAATGCTATGATCATATTGGACGTACCTGCAATGCAGATTCAACAATCCAATCACAATGCGACAGGAGGATAACAAATCATATGTAGAGCAACACAAAATGAACAAAACAACAATTTGATGAATTCATAGAGCTTATTCAGTACCACTTTTGTTTGAAAAACTTTAGACTGGCGCCCATGTCTTTTGACTTTTTCAGCGTATGCTTACACATCGAAAATATGGAAGCTGATTCTAGGAAAGGGGCTATTCTGCACACGTGATGGGTGTAAAGCCATTGCTCCTTGAGTAGCGTAGACAATATTAAGACGCCCCCCCCCCCCTCCCCAAAAAAGTATCGACAGGTGAGATATGACTCACGACACCGAGCTGACAATGGTGGAATCACTTTTCTTAATAACCCCCTCACCTTGGTGTAGGATAAGAATAAAATATATTGAATTGTATTTCCTAGTTGAGAGGTAATATTGAACTGAAGTAGCGAGTTCAGTGTAGAGGAATCGATATTAACAATATTAACAAACCCCTGCAAGTAATGATAACGCACGCTCTATTGCAAGAAAATTTAACTTGAGTCGAGAATGCAAGATCACACATAAGAACACACATGGGCAACTATGACACACCATTCGCCAATTATAAGGATACATCCGGCAGCGAGTACACTTTCAAGAGCAATTACATGTACGGGAGCACTCTCTGGTGATTGAAGTACTAGTCCCTGATCTGATTTCCAAAAGGGCTCTAGAAAAGGGGTTTTGTTTTGTTCTATAGCTGATTAACTTTTCAGCGACCATCTTGCATTTTGGCGGCCATCTTGAGAGTTTTTTAATGAATCTTGTCATCGCGATTCCAGGAATACCACTGAACAGATTTACATCAAATGTTCACAGATGTTACATGGTAAGAAGTCATAGAGTTCATTCGTTTTCTAGTGGCCATCTTGCATTCTGGTGGCCATCTTGCATTCTAGTGGCCATCTTGGAAGTTTTAAGATAAATCTTGTCATCGCGATTTCAGAAAAAACAAACGGATTTACCTCAAATTTTCACATATATTACATGGTAAGAAGTTCTAGAGCTGATTAGCTTTTCGGCGGCCATCTTGCATACTGGTGGCCATCTGGGAAGTTTTTAGAATGCCCAACAACTAATCAGATCTAGATTTTCATACTAAGAATCATCCCTGAAAATTTGAAATTGATCTACCAAACGGTTCTTTTAAAAACGCGTAGACAAGACTTTACAGGCAAGATTTTAAGGCGGAAAATCCAAAATGGCTGCCTTGAAATTTATCCAAAATGCCAAAAAAACTAATCAGATCTAGATTTCGTACTGAGAATCATCCCTGAAAATTTCAAATTGATCTACCAAACGGTTCACGTGGAAATGCGTAGACAAGACTTTACAGACAAGATTTTAGGACGGAAAATCCAAAATGGCTGCCTTGACATTTACCCAGAATGCCCAAAATCTAATCAGATCTAGATTTACATACTGAGAATCATTCCTGAAAATTTGAAATTGATCTACCAAACGGTTCACCTGAAAATGCGTAGACAAGATTTTACAGACAAGATTTTAGGACGGAAAATCCAAAATGGCTGCCTTGACATTTACCCAGAATGCCCAAAAACTACTCAGATCTAGATTTTCATACTAAAAATCATCCCTGAAAATTTGAAATTGATCTACTAAACGGTTCACCTGAAAACGCGTAGACAAGACTTTACAGACAAGATTTTAGGACGGAAAAATCCAAAATGGCCGACAATAAAAAAAGTGATTATGAGCTTTTGCTGATTTCTTTTTACAAAATTATCACATATAACTACTGTTAACAATAACATAGGCTTTTACAACAAAGTACACCTGAAATTATTTATAAAGCTACTAATATAAATAGTTAAAGTATGAAAACTGAAAAACACCATTCAATATGATACAAAGTATTATCGTGCGCTAACTTTTCTTAAAACATTCAAAATGGCTGACATGACTGATCTAACAGGTCCAAAACCTAATCAGATCTAGAATGAAGTGAGCTGAACAAGATGTTAAAGTTTTAAAAGCAACTGTGAAGCCGTTTTTCTTAAAGTTTGCAGACAAGGATTTTATATTTTTGGGGCCTCAAGGCCTTTTTTGGCCCAAATTTTTTCTGGGCCCAGTCCCCCCCAGATCCGCCACTGGGCTAAGTCTTACCTCCATGATCATTTTGCCATTGATGCGTTAGTTTAATCGTTCCGAAGCTTTCGACAAGCGGAACTAATTAAACCCTGAAAAATGGTAATATTACATAAAGAATGTGATTCAAGCATGCATACATACACATGTATATACATTATGAATACATACACACCATCCCGTATCCCCCTTAGACCCTATTGATGCATAATTACGAAAATATTGGAGACAGATTTGGAATATAACGAAAATGTCGGTCAGTCCTGGTAACATCGAAATTGCAAATCGTATCAGAAATTAACCGTCATTGCGGCACTGCATTAACAAACAGAAGTTTGCAATTAATAACTATTTTGCGTGTATACCCTTATAAAAAGTCAACCTTGAAAATCCGAATTTAAACCGTCGCACAATTATTGCACAATCATTGATCCGATCATTTATGCAACCATGCCAACCATTACGATGCATCCATCACAATTTTGGTTTAGGAAAAGGTGAGCGATGCTTTTAGCTTTGATCATATTAGTCCGGAAGAAATATGGGGTATTTTGAGGATCAATCGTTTTCTTAGGATTACAATGTTTATTCAGCATGAATATAGGGTTGGGACCTCAAAACCAAGGAATGCCAGAGCGACACCCTTGGACAACTCTCTTTAAAGCATTTCTCATACAACCCTCATCCCCCCCACCCAATGAAATCTACAGGGGGTACTATAAGACAGCTTTATATCTCAGACTCTAATAATGATATTGACCTGACTTCTTGGTTTGATGTTTGATCAGTATGACTAAAATTAAGAAAAAATATATATACGTTGCTATAGCAACAGTAATAGAACACTATTTCTCACCTTAGAAATGCATTATTTTGTGTGGTTTCATAATTGTCTCATATTCTTGATTCTTAAACTATCCGAAGCACACAATGTGATTAGAAGTGAAGATAAAATTATTCATCATATCGTTTGTGTAATATGTCTAACATTTCAGTTGCTATGGCAACATCAGTTGATAATCAGGCTCTTACATTTCACTTTCTTTAATGAATATCTTAAGGTGGTCCAAAATAACACTTTTGGAATATTATCAACTTAAAGATGAAACCATGTTTCTTCTGAAATGAATAGTCAAATGAATTTGTTAAAAAATTCTACAACTTTATCTTATTCCCTCACAACAGCCCCCAAAGTTTGACAATTTGGGGGAAACAGTCAAAAAACATTCAATTCCTAGGCCAAATTAATAATGGATTGGGATTCAACATCAATTAGTATCCCAAAAAAATGTACTGACTTTGTTTGATTTTACAATATGAAGATTTTAATTATTTGACACTCAAAAGTATTTTATAATTTAGAAGACTAGCCCATAAAATTATAAAGATAGTTATGGTCAATTTTATCATTTTGCAGCATTCAGTAGAAGCATGTATCAATAGACAAAAGATCAATGCATTTAAAAAATATTCATTGTAATACATTCATTACCTTAATCTAGTATACAGGAGACTGCACATATTATTTATATCTAAGTTTTATATCTAGTACATGTATCATAATGAAATCTATGTTGTCATACAGTAGAGAGGTTGGCAAAGTCTAGGGATTGGCATAATGTCTAATTATTACAACCATTTGTTTTTCTCATCTGAGCAATCAGACTATGATGGTTATCATGAATGAGTAAAGTTCTTTATGTAAGTTTTATATTTAGTGCATGTATCATAATGAAATCTAATGTTATCATGCAGTAGAGAGGTTGGCATAGTCCAGTGATTGGCTTAATGTCTAATTATTACAACCATTTGTTTTCTCATCTGAGCAATCAGACTATGATGGTTATCATGAATGAGTAAAGTTCTTTATGTAAGTTTTATATTTAGTGCATGTATCATAATGAAATCTAATGTTATAATATAGTAGAGAGGTTGGCATAGTCTAGTGATTGGCAAAATGTCTAATTATTACAACCATTGGTTTTCTCATCTGAGCAATCAGACTATGATGGTTATAATGAATGAGTACAATTCTATATGTATGTTTTATATACATGTACTATATATACTGTATATAGTACATGTATCATAATGAAATCGAATGTAATCTTACAAAAGAGAGGTTGGTATAGTCTAGACATTGGCATACTGTATAAGTATTATAAGCATTAATTTTCCTCATCCTAGCAACCAGACTATGGTTGTTATCTTGCACAAGTACAATTCTATATATAAGTTTAATATTTAGTACATGTACGAGGGGTGATCAATAAGTGATGGACGCTTTTTTACACAGATACTTTAATTTTTATAAACCAATCTCTTTGATTTTCTTCCCAGTGATACGTCATTCAATTATCTATCAATTCTTAAGATTTGAAGACAAAACATGTAATAATTGTTGATATATCCTTATTTCCGTGAAGGAGGTACAGGTACCCCGGGACCGACA